CCCCCCTTGTTTTTGCTCCAGGAGAAAATCTCAGCCAAAAAAAACCAAAAAAAAAAAAAAAAAAAGAGCTCCCTACTGCTGTGTCATTGATACCGCGGGGTCGCTCGCTTCCTTTCTTTCGCCTTTCTCGGACCTCTATTGAAGGCTGCACCCATTCAATTAGTTCAAACTGCAACTGAAAATATTTATGAGCTGACTAACTACCTATACGCGTCTCCTCCGCTCGCTTCATCCTCCCGTCTAGCTAGAAAACACCGCTGTCCTTCCGAGAGCTGCGCTCCTGCTCTTTTCAAAATCGGTCCCTGTCCCTAAGCCACTCATTCCAAGCCCGCATCCAAGGCCAGGACTTGTTGCATCCCTTTTAGAGTTTGATTAATTACCCTGGAACTTAAGCAAACTAAACTACATGTGGCGAGGAAGCCCGTGCCTGCAGTTCTGTCCTGGAGCCTAGCAGTTCCAGAGACATTTTCTATATTCGCATGCAAATTGGAACCAATATCTCTGCGCCTTTAAAAGGTATATCTCTATAAATATATAGAAGTATCAATTTGTCTTTAGCTTGAAGATGTTGATCATTTATTACAAAAATAAACGAATAAATACAACAATATATTGTTGCTTTCGACAGGATAAATATTTTACAAATATATAATTTAAAAAAAAACAAATTTAATTGGTAAAATTATTTAAAATATTACACTTACTGATAAAATTATCAATAGTATGTACTGCATTTCATATTAGAACCAATTATTCTCTAAACGTTCCATTTAAAACCATTCATACAAAGCAAGTTATGAGCATTGCAATGTGCAAACACGAGTCACTACATTAAAGCATAAGGATTTTTTTTTTAAGATCACTTCAGATATGAACCGCTGTGTTTATAAACCAAGGTAGAACTCTTTGCTAAATTCCGGAAAATACGCGGGTCAACAGCAGCGAGATGACTATTTTAAACACACCTGAAAATGATTTATTGTATACAGACTAGACGGGGAAAGGATGGGATGTGAGTGAGAAGCCCAGAGCGTAGTAGGGGACCGCAGGATAGGAAAATGTAAACTATAAATAATCACATCTCGGGATTACCCAGACTGACCGAACATAACTTTGTGAAACATTTGGCTTTCCTTTAGGTAGGAAAAAAAAAAAAAAAGGAATAAGGAAAATGGTGCTGACTCAGTTACCAAGCACAGAACACTGATATTATAAATGAATACAATTACTAAATTCATTAAGAGATCTGGCGATATATAACAATATTTTCATTATTTACACGTGTAACAATATAACCCTTAACGCGAAACCTCTCAATTTTTATCTACTGCTTGTTATCTCATAGACTCACAACCCTGAAATTCCTAAATACATTCAAAGGATTCGGTTTCTCGGGGAGGAGGGGGAGCGACCACGGCCTCACTTTTTGTGCATAATAACGACGCAGAATGGGCGCATTTTGCGAGTCCCTACAACCAAATGTTACTCCAGCCCCAAAAACAGCTTTTTCTGACACAGAAAACCGCAAAGGTTGCCTTTTAATAGAAAACAGTGTGAAGCCTAATGTTAGCTCTTTGTTGCCATCCAAATCCAGTAACCAAATACCACTAAGAAATTTAAATAGACCTTCTCCATGTCTAATAAACCGCTGCCCTTCATGTGTGAAAAATAGGATCCCGCCTCACGTGTTGGAGCCCCCGCCGCAGAGCCCGACCCGCCGCTCCCGACCTGCGCCTCCTTCCCGCAGCCCAGTCCATGTGCAGCCCTTTCCCCTCCCAAATCGCCAAAAGCAGAGAGAGGCTTTCGCTTAAAAGCAACAAAAGAGGAGGATCGTATTTTATCCTTTCATTTATCTTTTTTTTCCTTTTCTTTTCTTTCCTTTTCTTTTCTTTTCCTTTTCTTTCCTTTTTTTCCCCCTCCTCCCCCTCATTCCTCCGTCTTAGCCTGGCCTTTCGGATTTCACAAATCAAAACGACGGGGATATTTACTGCGATCTGGCGCTAAAATAATGCATCCCCTCGCACTGCTCCCAGGGTGGGTTTGATTTATGAACGTGACACAAGGCCTATGTGCAAGACAGAAATGTTTGTTGTTTATACAGCACTTTCTTTTCTTTCTTTCTTTCTTTCTATCTTTCTTTCTTTCTTTCTATCTTTCTTTCTTTCTTTCTATCTTTCTTTCTTTCTTTCTATCTTTCTTTCTTTCTTTCTATCTTTCTTTCTTTCTTTCTATCTTTCTTTCTTTCTTTCTCTCCGTTTTTTTTTTCTCACCCCCACGTCAACATCGCACCGAGAACCAAGACAAGCGGGGAGGGGAGACTGTGGGGGGAGGGAGGAGGACGAGGAAGGAGCCACGGGCGAGATGGATCATAAAGGATCATAAAAACCTTATTCCTCAGCGCACTGGTGCTAGCGGGGGCCAGTGGCTGCAGCTTCCTTGTGCCCCCCGCGTCCTCGGCGCGGCACGGAGGGAGCAGAAACGGGCGCCCACTCGCCTGTTCACCGCAGTAAACCTAGCAGATAAATGTGACAGCCCCGCTAGAGCCTCCCTTGGCACCCTCGGCAGGACCAACACACGCGCTGGCTTGCAAGGGGGGGAAAGGAAAAACTGCTACGCCACTCACACCCCACAGGGAAAAGCCTAAACCAACAGCAGCAGCAACAGCAGCAACGACAGCAACAACAGAAAGGGTCAACTACGCGCAGGACCGTGCGCAGGATGCGAAAAGTCATATTCCTATATAACCTTCTTTTTGGAGAAAAAAAAAGAGTATCTTCTCCTTAAATTATAAAGATAAAATAAATACATAGATTTATATAGACATAAAATGCGTCAGAAGAATGTATATTTAAACACCTCCCCCTTTGCCCCCCACCAAGTCCGGAGTTTGAGAGGAGCCAAAGCAAGAGGGAACTTTTTGGAAGCTCCCTGCTTGCAGCATCGAGCGAAGCGCAGCCCTAGCCCGAACCAGCACAGCCCTTTCGTGGGGAATGCGGTCCTTCAGCATCCCTAATCCTGCCTTCCTTTCCCACGCCACGGGGCCCCTGCGCTGCTGGAAAGCGCCAGGGAAACGGGCTCCGCGTGCGGGCTGACAGAGAGCGAGGATTGCGCTAGGAAGCTAAAGAGCAGGAATCCCGGGGCGCTGCATTTCCAGGGAGCACAAGTGCAGAGAGCACGTCGGACTCCAGCAATTCTCCCACCTCTGGGTTGGCAATATTTCCTTCGGAGAACTTTTTTTTTTTTTTTTTTTTTTCGACACAGGGTTTATGCATCAGACACAGACTATTTCATTCTAACAAATTTATTTTCTCAATCAGCTCTTACGGAATCACTACTCAAATTAAATTACAATCAAATTATCACATCAAAAGATACCCTTATTACCTAACAACTGTCCATATTTTCATTTCATTTTGATTTGTGCTCGTCTGAAAAAAACACGTAATACAAGATCTGGGGAAAAAATAAATTACCGTTTTGCAGCAGTTCATAGGTATTCTGAATAAAATATTAAAAGAAGTCATTTAATGAAAATATAAAGCAAATTTTTTTTTAGATCAACAACGGATCTAACAATTCTATATTGCCGTCTTTTTGAAAAGTCTGTTTATTAAAACCTACCAAAAACACTGCTTGGAAATGGCAGTATTATATAATCACATCCACAGCACCCATTCAATCAAAGTTGGCAACGGATTTAGGAGAGGAGAAGTTCAGATAAGTGCAGCTGCAGATGCTCAGTCCTTCTAAATCCCTTTATCTGAATCAGTCCAGAAATAAAAAATAAAAATATTAATAAAAAAAATATTAGCAGTGGATTTTTTATGACTCTTCCATGATGATTGGCAGCCGTCAGGAGCAGGACTTTGACAGCCCTAAATTATTTCCCTTTCTCTCTTGCTGGTTCCCTTAATTCATGCCAAGTCCTTCTACAGAGCTCGAACTTCAGGGACCAACAACCTCTCCGTCTCTCCCCCTCCCCGGTGTCCGTCCCTCCCCCCTTTCTCCTCTGGGTCAGCTTTCAGTGTGCGGGCTTTTCTTTCCATATTTTTGTTCTATAGCTATACCTATATATATAGATAAATATATATATATGTATTTGCTTCCCTATGTAGTCTGCTTGTTTTTAGTGCTGTGTGCATATTATTATTTTTTCTGGGGGGGAGGAGTGGGGGAAGGGGAAAGAAGGGGGGGTGGAAAGTGGCCCTTTTCATTTTGCAGAATACAGAGATACATAGACATGCATGTTTTCAGAGTGGATGTCTACCGTGCACCAAAGTCGTACGGTTTGGCCAAGAAAAACAGGGTGCTGGAATGCAGCAGGCACCCCTGTGCTTAACCAGATTATTTTGCTTCTGCTTCCACTACCACCACCCCCTTTTTGAGGGGGGGATTTCTCCCATTAAAAACAAGGGGAGGGGGGCGGAGAGGGAGAGAGAAGGGGAGAGAGAGGGGGAAAAAAAGAGAGAGAGAAAAAAAAAACTTTCCGTGATTCATAGAAGAGAGCCCTTTTGGGGATAGAGGGGAGGAGAGGAGAGGTGCAGGCATCAGTGCTGCTCACCGCTGCAAGAGGGGTTTCGGAGAACAATAATAATAAAAAATAACAGTAAAAAAAAAAAAGGCAAACCACCCAACCACCCCCTCTTCCCACAAGCAACCCCCGGCACATCTGCAGTTTTGGTGCATTACGCATCTCCGCCCCGCTTGCCCACCACAGTGTGCAACGCTAGCGCCCGCATCGCTCTTCTCCTCCAGCGCTCCCTGTCCGCATCGCTCTTGTATATATATATATAGATATAGATACGGATGCACGCGTCTATCCATATATATATAACCACAAGCAGTCTGAACGAGCCCGCATGTCGTGTGTGTGAGTGTTTGTGTGTGTGTGTGTTTGAGGGAGGGAGGGGGAGCGCGAGCGTGTGCGCGGCGCCGCCGGAGCCGTTCACGGTGCCGACCTGCGAGTAGACATCGTCGGGGGTCTGCTGCTGGATGCCCGGCGGGGTCATCCTTTTCTCTTTCTGCCTCCGATTGCAAAACCAAACCCTGACCACCTCCTTCTCCAGCTGCAGGCTGTCCGCTAGGTTCGTAATCTCCTGGGCGGAGGGCTTGGGGCATTTCAGAAAGTGGCTCTCCAAGGCCCCCTTGACACTCACCTCGATGGAGGTCCTCTTCTTCCTCTTCCTGCCCTGCGCCGCGATCTTGTCGATGCTCGTGGGGCTGCCCGTGGAGGAGTCGGCTTCCTCCAGCCACTTGTTCAACAAAGGCTTCAGCTTGCACATGTTCTTGAAGCTCAGCTGCAGGGCCTCGAAGCGGCAGATGGTGGTCTGCGAGAAGACGTTGCCGTAGAGGGTGCCCAGCGCCAGCCCCACGTCGGCCTGCGTGAACCCGAGCTTTATCCGCCGCTGCTTGAACTGCTTCGCGAACTGCTCCAGGTCGTCCGAGGTCGGCGTGTCCTCGTCCGAGTGCGCCTCGTGGCTGTTGACGGCGCCGTGGTGCGGCGGGTGGTGCGGGTGCTGGTGGTGGTGGTGGTGGTGGTGGCCCGGGTGCTCGCCCAGCTCCGCCGCGTCGCCG